CCCCACCCCACACCCGCACCCACCCACCCACCTCAACACCTACACCACCCCACACCCACACCTACACACCCACACACCCACACCCACCCTCCAAGTGAATTCCAACTTGATTCCAAGTTGATTTCAACTTGATTTCAACATGATTTCAACTTGATTTCAAGTTAGATTTTAGGTGGTCATAATTGAATTTGAAATTCATAGAAAGGAATGTTATAATACAATAATCGACATTTTTTAATAAAATTTGTCGAATTCGACAAATTTGGATTTCAATTTTGTCGAATCGACAAATTTTATCGACAAATTTGCGATCGATATATTTTGTATTCGACAAATTTGATGTTTCCCGTACAATGTATGCTGCTAATGATAATCGTCTTGATTGATTTCATATTTTTCGTAAGATCACTTTCTAAACCATATGTAATAATATCTTATTGAGACTTCTTTTTTTTTAGATCGTGATTTTAGAAAAAAAAAATAAAACTCAAAAAATACATAATTAATATATGAAAAATATGCTGTTTCTACTCGAAGAAAAGAAGATTTTTCTAATTGATGTAAAGCTTTTTATATATTTTAAATATTTTTTTAATAGTTTTTTATTTTCACGATAGTAAATGTGAATAATATTGTTATTTGAATAACTAATCAAATGATGATGAAAAATAAAACATTATCAATACTTAGCTAGAAAAGGTATTTGTAGGACGTAAGTAGAATTTAATTTATTTTTAAATACATCTAAATTTTGTTTTCTACAATCGTAGAATTTGTTTTTTTTTTATTTTTATTATTTTAGACGATTATGACGACAACAATGATGAATGTATATTAAATGCTAATACTCTTCAATTGTTATATGAAGATGTTGCTTTACCAATTGAAAATGACACATTAATTATTAATGAAAATATGCACGATCAAAATTTTTTTTATAAAATAGTAGAATTTATTGACAGTTCAAGTTGAACCAACGAACGACTAATGATGAAAAATGGCGAATTAATAACAATTTTAACAGTAAACAATTTTAAAAATAATATCGTTGTTCGAACAAGTACCTTCTTTTATTTCATAAGCTTTTCTGTTTCTTGGTTTACTGATTCACCATGACATTTATTTTTCTTAAAATATTTTTTGATTTGTGAAATTTGGTAATTGAAGTTTATATCTTCAATTTTTAAGTTTTCTTTTATTCTTTTTTAAGTTTTTCTTTTTTGCTTCAGAGAATTGTAAAAGCGAGAACATTTCACGTGAAGAATTTGCTCTCATTGCAACAGCAGCTGAACAATAGTTGCAGAGTATAAGATCAAATGATTGATATCTCATGGGAACCAATTGGAATGACTGTGCGTGGCGACTCCAAACTTCATGAAGCAATGTGCGTTTTACTCCACCTGGAATGTTATTAGTAAAAATGTTTAAAATAATTTTATCAAATTTATTTCTCGTTCTTTTCATTATATTTTTTTTGTCGTAAACATGTATAAAAACTTCAAGTCTAAATCTACAGTCTTGCTCTCTCTAGGGATACAGTTAGTTTAAAAACCTAATGCGTTCATAATGTGTTAAAAAATTTAAACAAACATGTATGCTTTCGAAAGCTTTAACTCGTTTTAAACGCATAAAAATTTTTAACTGTTTGTCGGACGAGGTATTCGTAATTAGACACAAATATTACTTAGCAGGAAAATTTGAAATGACCCCCTTGATTTTGAAGCATCTCTATGGACCTGACAAAGAGTTTATTGGTTTTTGTTGTTTCTTTTTAGATATGAAAATTAATATCATCGGCTCTGGTTTTGCCGGATTGTCAGCGGCTTTATTTCTTTCTCGTCATCCATTGAACTGCATTACTCTATATGATAAATTCACTAATGTTCAAACTGTTGGAGCAGGTATCTTAATGCAACCATCAGCAATGGTAATATTGAAAAAACTAGATATTTATGAACCACTTGTAAGAAATGGTGAAAAAATTTATAAGCTACGAGGAACAAACCACCATGGTCGAGAAGTATTTTTAACATCTTATGATGATTATGCAATTGGGTGTTTTGGCATTGGAATACATCGTTCTTTACTATTTAAATCCCTTTATAATAAATGTAAAGTGAAATCCAACATCAAATTTGAATTAGGACAAGAGATTACATCTCTAGCAGATTTAAAAGCAACTAGCGATCTATTAATTGTAGCAAATGGTTCACATTCTTGTCTTAGAGAACAAGTACCAATTAAACAATCGTATCAGTTATATCCTTATGGTTGTTTGTGGACAACCGTTGAAGATGATCAGATTACTCCAAATCAATTATGTCAATACATGAGATATTCACAAGAAATGTTTGGTATTCTTCCATCTGGCATAAATGAAAACAATAAACGAATCGTTAGTGTTTTTTGGAGTTTACCAATCAAACTGAAAAATATTTACTGCATACACAAAGTTTTAGAAGGAATGAAGTTTTATTTAATTCATGATAATAATTATTTTATTGAAAAACTCAGTCAAGCTAACTATTCATTTGCTGTATATGCTGATGTCTTCATGAAACAATATGATTATGAGAATATTATATTTATCGGAGATGCAGCACATGGAATGAGTCCTCAATTAGGTCAAGGTGCTAATATGGCATTCTTAGACAGTTATTATTTGAACAAAGTTTTAATTGAGAATAGTAATAATATTACACTAGCTTTGAAAAACTATACTACATTACGAAGACAACACTTAAAGTTTTATAGTCAAGCAAGTAAATTTTTGACACCGTTGTATCAGAGTGATCAAATGTTATACGGAAGATTTCGAGATGTACTTTTTACCATTTCAAAGCAAATGAAATTCTCAAGAAAAATATCAAGTCAAATTTTATGTGGAAAAAGAACTAGTTGGATAAGAAATCAAGAAATTGAATATTAAAAGAATATATTTGCAAAAAATATAATTTCATTCATACAAAGCATTTTTCTTGTGTAAATATGAAATATTATGTGACATTGTTGGTGTGACCATAAGAAAATTGATTTCTAGATAGTTTACCAGATCTATTTTGTGATTTTCAACAGCAATTGAAACAAGCACAGAGTAGATTATGCGGAACGACTCATTAAGTCGGCTGACTGCACAAAGTGCAGTCAAAGCCGACTTATTGCTTTTCACTCGCTTAGTTACCATGGCAAATTCTTCTTCTTCTTCTCAACACATGAGTCACGATTCAAGTCAGCCACTTGTTCACAGCTCCTGATTATTATTTTCAGTCGAAAAAAAGTTTGGTGAGATCCTGAGAATGTGACGAGTGCACATCTGAAATCCGTTTTTCGAAATTCGGCAGCGTTTAGGAGATATAAATCATGCCAAAAATGATAATTAACAGCTGTTATTTTCCTTATATGGTTATGCATGACTCGGTCTTAAAAGACCATTGATATCTGAGATCTTATGTGCATATGTACTTTAATTATCGTTTTGCATAGCTGAAATTCATCCACGAAGAAGTCTCAAGCATTAAAAAAAAATCTCTTTATGGTTTATACAGATGAGACGATGAACGATAATGAACAGCTGAGAGCTTCCTTATATGGAAATCTACGATTCAGATTCATTATGATTTCCTCTACACAACTCTTGGATATAGAAATAGTAGATGTCGTATAGGACCAGATTTTGATATTTTTCGGGCTCTGCAGTCAGCCGACTTTTGTAGCCGGCCTTGGGCCGGGTAGAGGTCTAGTTGATTTGCATTACTTAGCATCAGTGAACTTCATGACAGTTTTTATTCCATAAAACTTCGAATTTAACTATAACAGACTTGTCTCTCGCGTTGGTTTTTCAGTATTAGATTCAATCTTGATAATTCTTGGATATGAAGACAACAGGATTTTTGCCGAATACCTACTGATCGTGACTTTATGATTTGACACATTCGATAGAGACCTTGTCACAATTGATCAGATGTCTTTCGGTTGGGAACGATTTTCAACGTAGGATCAACCTTTTAACTAAAAATGCTTCATCATACAGTACCAGACATGCTTGAATGGTTGTTTCAGTTTGCAGCTCCTTAAAAATGTGAATTGTTAGCTTGTCGTTGAGTTCTATATGGCATAAACAGTGAGACTCGACACAAGTCATTCATCGTCAGAGACGTATTCACATTGAGTGAGAGATGAATTTTAGGGAAGACTGCTCACTAAACAATCAATGTAGAGGTTTCACATTTTAGCGCATTCACTCATAAAGCCTGAAAAAAGCAATAAGACTTCTGCATAGAATTGAACAACACAGTGCTGCAGACATGCCTGAATAAAGAAGAAAAGAGTTTCTTGGCACGATGCAAGAGTATTCGGTTATATTAATAATCAGAACGAGACATCAGCGAGTTACGAATGATTCGAAAACCTGTTTAACAAAACTACGTACCACGAAATTCCGTTTCAAGAATAGGTTTCTTCGATGTAGTCAACAAATAATAAGATGAATAGATTGCAAATTTTAGATACAAAGCAAATATAGTATCTCTACTTATGCTTTCTAGCACTTGTCAGACCATTTGAGACCGTATTACACAAACAACGCGCTGTTAACTCAATAACGAAGAACACCTATGGCACATTTTCAGTAAGAACAGACAATTTCAATATTCATGTCATCAAAGGCGCTGTTTTATTGTTACATAGTCATTAAAACAATGACTAGACACACAAATTTACATCTTGGGACTTCTGCTTCATCAGGAATTATGTTTAAATTGAATACATTAGTACATTCTTCTTACGTACACAATAAAGTTGATTGAGGAAGTTATAAAGATACACTGATAAATAATTGTGGGCTAGCAGATTTCATAGCGCAACGTGCTACTGGCACAAATGGGAAACTTTTCTTTTCTCAATGTACATAGAAACCATTAGACGTTCACCGTCGATGGAAATTTATTCCAAGGGAAGAAATGACATAGGCAATGTGTGTAAGTTTCATACATGGAATCAGAAAGCCTACTCAAAAAAGATGTATTTACTATGCTCAAGATCTCTGTCTATTGATTACTATCTGTTTCCTAGACAACTTGATTATTGTTCGAATCAATATGTCTAATGGCAATAACAACTGAATATCTACGAATTTTGTGTTTAGTACCATGTGAAAGGTAAAAGTATGTCGATATAGCGACTACTTGAATGTCATCGAAGCTTGATTGTTGGCTTACGAGGGAACCCAACTAGCTGATTAAAAACTTTCGGGTTCATATCCTGGTCATGAGTAGGGCTTGGTGGGACTAGAGAAATCTCAAAAGGATATACTTTTATGGGCCTATTCGATTGAGATAGGAATGTTCCAAGTTTAGAACCAGAAGCGTAGATAAATTATTTCTAGTACATGATTCTTCCCTTTATACGCGTCCTGATATAGTTGTGATTTCGAATGAAACTCAAAAGCTACATTAGTCAATAACATTGAAACATTAAGCACGAATGACAAGGAAGGCAAACGAAACAGCAGATAGAAATAATAGAGAAAAGTATGTGATAGCTTATGAAGTATATGCTTCAAACAATTTTAGTATATCAAAGTAATAATACTTTATGCTTCTTTTCTATAGAAGTTATCACATCAGATTAACGCAGCAACTTAATTTTTTCAACAACTCGACATTTTACGTATGAATATTTCAAAAATAAATGTTTCCTTTGAAATTCTACAATGTTGTAATTGAAACACGAGAAGCAGTTTATCTACATGTCTGATCCTAAAATTGGAACGTTCGTATCTTGACCAAATAGATCCATGAAAATAAATCCTTTTGAGGTTCCTCTAGTTCCACTAAGACCTACTTATGACCAGAATATGAGCACAAAAGCTTGACGGTGTGGGTTCATCTTGTCTATTTCACACTCGCACTCACTCACACACGCTCATGTGCGAATTAAATAACCATTCATTTCATCAGTTCAACATGATTTATTTGAAGGAATCAAAAAAAAACGAAACCATCGTAATGAGTCTATTCGACAGAAAAACGTTGAACACGATGATTGTAACAGTCGGCGATATAGATATTACCATGTCGGTCGAAGGATAAACCTCTGAGACCATTGAACTGATTAGCTTGTTCCCCTTGACCATTTCCACCAACAATGACAGTACCTTCTTTTGCTCCTTTAGGCCAACGCATCACTCGATTATTCCCTGAATCTGCCACATAAACAGTACCCAACGTATCGAGGAACAGTCCTTGGGGACCTGACAATTGTGTCAGAGCATTTCCTTGACCGTGACCTCCAGCAACAACAATGCCTTCTTTTGCACCTTTTTTCCATTCCATCACACGATGATTTCTCCAATCTGATACATAGACAGTCTGTTGTCGATCAACAAACACACATCTTGGCTCGTTGAGTTGATTTAAATCAGTACCTTTTCCATGACCACCAGCCACAAGAGTTCCATTCTTGTGTCCTATTTGATATCTTCTTACTTCATGTTTCACGATATCAGAGATATAGATATATCTGTAATCATCCATGGTTAATTCTCGGCAACCGATATTGTCGAAAAGGATTTCTCCTTGAGCTGTGCCACTGCGACAAGACCATCGTATGACTCGTTGATTCCACGGATCACAAATAATGAAACTATCCAGCTCTTTGTCGATGAGCACATCAGGTGGTTCCTCCAATTGATCTAATCGATTTCCTCGACCATGACTACCAGCCACTACCTGTCCATTCGTATCACCCATCTTCCATTGGATGATACGGTGATTGTCCGTGTCAGCGATGACCATCGTTTGTTCATCATCAATAAATAGGCCATGAGGTGAAAATAATTGATTGGTAGCATTGCCTTGCCCGTGACCTCCAGCAATGGTCACCCCATTCTGTGCCCATCTTGCGTTGACTGGGATATCGAGAATTACTACAATAGACGAAAAAGAAAAGGAATCGGTGTTATCGTTGTCGAAGATATCCCCTCTCTCATGGGAAAAGTGCTACAAATGCGACATTCATCTTTGAAGAGAATTTGGTAAAGCTTTTCGAGACGCCTTTTCTTAATTTCCCATAGAAAGAAAGGACTTTGTAACAATTCTTACGTCTATATCACTTCTAATTCTCGCTAAGTTCTTGTAGATCCTCAAAAGTGGAACTCTCGAGGTGGATAAAAAACAGCACTTGAGATTTGCTGTAGGAGATTTTTTGAGAAAAAGTAATACTAATTCGATGCAAGCTTTCGATAGGAAAACATTCGATTCTGAGAATTTTATTCGTATTTGCGAATGTATAGTCTTTTGGGGGATTATTGGAGGAGCGTACTAGGAAACTTTAATCCTTGAAGAATTTATATAAATATTGGACGTGAATTTCAGCAATAGAATTTTTCTTCGACAACAAACTTCAAAGTTAATCTGTATGTTTTTGAAGGACTGTACAGATTTAGTATGCATCTTTTAGGATGCTTTTCACACCGTCGAAGAAAATTTCTGAGCATTGGGACAGAGGATGCAGATGACATTTCGTGCGGTTTTTTTCAATTTGTTTCAACATCTTTGGAGGAGAATCTTGATAAGATCTTAGCATGGTTGTAAGAAAGCTTGTATGCATGCAAAACTGATGCTAATTCTATCGGAACCTTCATAAAAAAAACATGGGACTTGTGGATTTCGTAATTTATTTAGAAAGAGAGCATCTGAATAGTATAGTCAGAAAGAGCTCTACAGAGCTATGATTAATTTTTTTCTGAAAATCAGCTTCAAATAATTCAATTAGGATGCTAGCAGATGTCATACACGTTTTGCAGCATTTTGCCTTTTTTATATATCTCATTTTAGAGAAAAGATACAATTTTGAATTCGTCTGTGAAATAGAGATGAAAAAAATAGAAGTGAAAAATAAACACGAGAAAAAAAAGTACATTTTATCATG